TTTACAGTTCATAATATTACCTTTAAATTGGTACCAGTTTTTTCTTCTACTAGGTAGTAATTTAGTTTTTACAATCGCTCGGAACAAATAGGGTGTTTCCATATTTATGCTCGCGGGTAGTTTTAAAAAGTCCCGGCCTTAAGCCGGAGTGTTGCCAGCGCACCAAGCTTCGCGGTTGCCTCAATGTGTATAGATAGTTTACTGCCATACTCATTAGATCGGCGTGCGTGCTGTATGGCGAAGTAAGCATGTACAATAATAAATATAGAAAGTATTCTAATGGAATATGTAATAAAATACTAAAATATACAACTTTCGTTTCCTTTAAACTCCTCCACACAATTTGAAAACACTCATAACATTTCAGACGTGTTAAAAACGCATGCAGTAATTTTAGTAAGTGTGCGTAGTGAAATCTGTAACTATAAAAAAAACATTACAAAAATATTTTAATTCTGAATATTCCAGTGTACTAATATAGTCTGGCAAAGTGTGTGTCAACATTAAACACGTAGCGTTACGCTTACGTTATTCCAAATACAGAATATTAAACTAAATTAAACTTAACACTATTTTATGATAAAACTGACTATGATATTGGCTTCAATAAGGCCCGTATTCTTAGACAAGCTCCAACTCAAGCACAGATTCTAAAATATCTCAATCACAAGCTTGAATCTCCTTGAATTGAGTAATGAACGTCGTTTTAGAATACGACTCTCAGACTAGTTATGACTAAATACACCAAAATAAACCGTAACATACCGTACCGTAACCGTCGTTAGTTAATAACGTACGAAACCCTGGAATAGTCGTGCGAAATGACACTAAATATTATTATGCGAGGTTCAGACTGGCAATAAAACTTGCAGAAGTTGATTTCTGCAAGCTGTCGCCAGTATGTAAATCTTGCAGAAGTTAGCTTGCTATTTACACAGTGGTAAACAGCTTGCGGAAGTCAACTTCTGCAAGTTTTATTGCTAGTCTAAACCTCACTTTATAGTCGAGATGGGGAAACAAATTATCCGCCAAACAATATGTCTTAAAATAAAATATATTTTAGAGTAAACTAGCACTAATAAATCAGCACATCATCAGCAATACTGTTTCTACAAATGTATTTTTTACACTTTTATGATTAATGTCTGTCTGTCACAGAAAAACTTTATCGCGCGCGTCCCTGTTTCAAAAACCGGGATAAAAACCATCCTATGTCCTTTCCCGGGACTCAAACTATCTCTATGCCAAAGTTCATCAAAATCGGTTCAGTGGTTTAGGCGTGAGCAAGACAGACAGACAGACAGAATTACTTTCGCATTTATAATATTAGTATAGATTTTGCCAGACTATAATATACACTCTCATTCCGATACTCTCCGCGTCTAGTGCCACAAGTGCATAATTACAACTAGTGATATGTTTCACGATTATTTCAACACACATTAAACATAAACATCATAGACTCGAACACACAAATTAAACATAACAGTCATACAACTAAACTTAACATACAAAATTCGTCGCCAAAATCTTGAGAAAAATATATTTCATCTATAGCCTGGTCCGCGAGCACGTAGAATTTTGTCCAATAACCCCAAGCTACCCATCCTTATCGCTCGCGCGTATTTGTATTTGTATGTTGTATGTTGCTGTCGCGCTCGCACACTCACTGCGGGCGCCCGTCGCACAGTCGCGACAGCAATATAATGAGGATCATTTCGATTTTTAGCTGTGAATGCAGATTTATAGGGCTAAGAAATCCTTAATACACAGTCCAAAAATTTTTGTTCTACGACAAAAATTGACGAAGTTATGGCCAAATTACTAAAAAAGTTCACTGACCGCCCGGCGCGGGGACGATGACGTCATTATATCCGATCCGAACGCTGCCGGCGTACTGCGTGGATAGAAAATATTTTTTTCTAGCCAAACTATCAGTTTTAGAGAAAAACTTGTAATGACATTTATTCATCAGAATAAAGTAAGCTATCGATAAGTAATTTTTAAAAATAGAAATTGTGAAAAATAACGCAAAAAATCCATACGCTCATACGATTCAATGGGGCCAGAAACTGGGTATGACTTGCCTCTCCCCCCTCCCACCAAGGTCAGAAGCTGGGTAAGGCTTGCCCCTCCCCCAGGCTATAAGCTGGGTATGACTTATCCCCCCCCACCCCCAGGCCAGAAACTGGGTATTAGCATCATATTATGTATTATTGTCGGCCGTATATGTGTCGGCCGTTTGGTGTAGTGGTTCGAAACGGACTACTATTCCGGAGGTAGCGGGTTCGATTCCCGCACAGTACAAACATTTGTGTGCATGAACATATTTGTTTGTATTGGACTGGGTGTTTTCTATGTATAATAAGTGTATCTATGTATAAAAAAAAAAAGAAGCGCAGTGTAAAATGTCTAAGGATATTTATTATTATTACGTTTGTACGCTTTGGAGCTCACGGGTCAAAAGTGGCCCGGTCCTTTATAAGGCTTGCGTGGGGATACAGATCCAACACGTAGAGGCCGTTTTAAGCGCAAAATAATCGACAAAAGTTAATTACTATTATTAATATTATGTTAAATACTACAAACAATCATTAAGTTACACTCACCCCAACCGCGTCTCTCCGCATTGCATCGAATCCTATGAAAATGTGGTTTTTGGACATAGCGATACTTATTTTTAACAATTTTTATTTTTAAAAATTACTGGTCGATGGGTTACTTTATTTTGATGAATAAATGTTATTAAAAGTTTTTTTCTAAAACTGATAGTTTAGCTGGAAAAAAATATTTTCCAACCCAATAGTACGCTGGCTGCGCTCGATTCGGATATAATGACGTCACGCGGCCTTGCGTACGTTGACTTTTAGCGGCAAAAACGGCCTATGTTTATTACTTAATATCTTCGTAAGTAATGGTCCGATTTGGATAATTCAAAAAGATATATCTTTCTTATGTCTTAAAGATTAACGTAGATACTAGTTTTATTGAATTTTCTACAACAGTACTGATCCTCATTACGCGCGAGCGATAAGGATGGGTAGCTTGGGGTCATTGGACAAAATTCTACGTGCTCGCAGACCAGGCTTTACCTAGTTAGGTATAGAATAAATGATTCATAAAAATAAGTTTCTAAATACATTGCTACAAGATTGGAATTTGAAAATTCATGTCAATTAATATTGTTTTCAGAAAATATTGCACATTTTAGGTAAGCAATTACTACTTGATCAGTTATAAAAATACTTAAATATAACTTCATAATTTTTGTCTATCCAAGCAACATGTTTAAAAATATTTATAACAATTTAATACTAATAAATAATACATAAATAATATCTTTGGGATCATATTTTATATTTATATGCGAGATACTATATTATTTTAGTAACTAACCTGCTTTAGTAAGTTAGTAGGTCACGCATGACCTACTAACTTACCTGACCTGCTTGAAATAAATAGTGTGAATAGGGACATTATGGCTCAGTTGGCTTTTTTCTTATATTATGTAAGGAACTTGAATTACTCTAGTTAAATGTACCACAAAATGGGTATACATTAACTGCTTTGTTGGAATTTTTCTTTCGCTTAGAGGAACGATTCTTTTTTTCAAAAGTTTAAATGAATACTGGGAACCAATTTAGACAAATAAACTTACATAAACTTAAAGATAAATAAAGCCTCTTTTTATATAAACATAATTCAAATAAAATTATGACTACATATACACAAAATAATTATATGTCTAGCGTCTACCCACAAAAACCAGCAGCTTTTGTAAAACATCAATTCTATAAAACACTATGGCGCAGTCAAATGTGTCATAATTTGACTATAAATCTATTCTAACTTAACATTTTACGAATAATGTATGTAGAATTATTCCAATTCCATACATTAAAAATACACACGGCTTACATAACTCTTTTAAAATTAAAATATATTATTATTACCAAATAAAATGGATTACTCACCAGTTACCACATTTAACAAGCTTAAATAGTGATGTGTGCGCCCAATAAATGCATTACTATAGTAGTATAGTTCTTGCAACTCACGAAGGCGAATGAGCTTTACTTGTGTACGTGTACATGCACATAACGATAGTGTAAGTTCTATCAAAACTTTTGAAAAACGAACAGTAGCGAGCCACCACACATGTAAAGCTCACTCGCCTTCGGGAATTGCAACAACTATGTATAGTCTGGTCTGCGAGCACGTAGAATTTTGTCCAATGACCCCAAGCTACCCATCCTTATCGCTCGCGCGTAATTATATTGCTGTCGCGCTCGCACATTCACTGCGGGCGCCCGTCGCACAGTCGCGAAAGCAATATAATTACGCGCGAGCGATAAGGATGGGAGCTTAAGAATTCTACGTGGTCATAGACCGGGCTTTATAAATAAACATCACCAAAAATACGGCGCTCTCTGTGATTTCGTAAATAATAAGGGTCATTATAATAGTATTCCATTTTCATGCAAGCTTGTTTCAAACATATATTATTGTTATTTACGACAAAAATATTTAAAACAGAACTGGCAACACCTATTTACGTCTATAAAAGTTCAGATTCCTAACAATACTCTATAAGTACTGATTATATCACATATCGCCCAATAATTATTCTAATCTACTTAATTAGAAGCAACATTAAAAGCTTTATAATAACATTTCCAATAAGAAATATCAACTGTCCAAATAAGTCAAAATGGTTTAAATAAGTTTTAACATCCACGTAAACTTTCTTCGGTCACAAACACTTCGTTCCCATGCTATTTTATTGTATATTAGTAATTTTACTAACTATTGAAATTCTTAAAATCTTTTATATCATGCAACACTTAATTCCGTATTTCTAAGACCCAGAACAGACGGTGAAACGCAACTGCAACGAAACTGCAACTTTCTGATGATTCTGATGAATGAAACTGAAACTGAAAGTTTCAAACTGGTCGCGTCATGTGTGGTCTCTCAACGGACGCTACGGCAGAAACTTAGATGCAACTCAAAAGTAACTACAAGTTGCAATTTCGTTGCAGTTGCGTTTCACCGTCTGTTCTGGGCCTAACCCAACTTTTAATGTAGTTATCCCGTAATTTCAAATGTAACAATTAACGACACAGTAAAATTAAATATCTATCAGCACATCGATAATACTATGGCAGTACGTATTTTCCCTAAATTTTTAAAAGCATCCTATTCATATACGTAATGTGTAATACGTTAGTCGTCCATATACGTACTCGTATAACTAAATAATTCTTAATACATTTAATGATAGAGTGGTTAAAGAATGCCCTGTAGTTAGTTAGACCACATTTGAAAACCGTATGTGTTATTTTTATTAATATAATAATTTAAATAATATTAAAATACCTGCAACACCATCAAGACGTAAATATCAAATGTGAGTACTTTTAAACAAGATGTGTTTAAAATCGATTAATTAATAGATGTAAAGATTACTTTTCAATTCAAATCAGTGAATTGTCAGACATTCGAGCCATAGACAATAAAAAATATGAATCGTCGAATTAATATTGATATCATATCAGACTAAGAGTTGATAAGTGAAAACCTCGTAATGTGTGTTGAGGTTTTTCTTACTTATTTTACATTAAAAAGTGTTTTTGATAAAAATACACTTACGAGATTTTCACTCGTCAACGACGATAAGTGATAGTTGAATGTAATTTCACTGACTTTGAATTTACTTTGGTCTATGGAACAAATTATCACAGGATGGTAAATGCAAGCGTTTTAAATTTAATAATCTGTTAAAATCCTAACACCGGACCTGCCTGTCTTAAATCTATGGGCAATTCAACGTTTTAAAGGTAAAAAACTTACTTATACTCCTCCACAGGGCCTGTGACCTTCAACGGCATGGTGTCCCACTTGGCGATGGTGTCGAGGTCTACCTTGTCTATGGTCCAGCGCTGGGTGTCTTTGGTCGCGTCGCACGGGTTAATGTAAAGCGCGTGTGTGGCGCGATCGAACTCCACGCAGTTTTCGTTGCCGCCGTGCTTTATTTGTTGTGTTGACTGGAAGCAGACATAAGATATTGTACTGCTTGTAGATTGTGCTGTGTAGTTCTGAGTAGAATAGGGTCACTCTATCTCCTCCCAATAATGTGGGAAAAGGTAACGAAAGGTACAATATGCGAACGTTACGCCTCCCCAACCAGTTTGACCAGCCTTGAGGATTGTAGACCAATCTTTCTTTGGTAACATTACGGGTATATAACTAATCTGACCACTTTTTCCCATCACCACTGCAACTTCCCCACGCTCAACTAATCAAGGTTGATTAATCCCGGGGGATAATACGGTAAGTGTAGAAGATAAAAGAAAATGGGAGGAGTTGTTATACAGGGTGTTAGGTAAATGGGTATATGAGCCGACACTAGCCCATGTTAACATGGCCATATAAATGGTATGGTGAAGTCAGAAAATTGATATCTTCATTTTAATTATTTTAATTTTTGTGTCAATAAATATCATCTTATGGTGGTGACTCACCGGGCGGTACCTCCACAGCTGGTTGCCGCCACCAAGATGGCAGGCGTACAGCTGCAGGCTGCGCCGCGGCCGCGCGTCCGGCAGGTCCCAGCACATGTTCCTCTTCTTACACCTGCAATTACAATTACAATTGGTATACTTATGGCACAGATAATACAGGGTGGCCAGGGAGTTGACGTTCAAAGCTAAAATTTAGATTTCTTACATCAAGGTGTATCTAAATCACCATTTTGCTTACTTTAGGACTTAGGAGATAAGAGTTAATTTTGTGATTTATTCTTAACTATCCCTATGGTTGGTTTTTATTTTTTTCTCACTCTGAAAGCTTCTCTAGCGTAAGTAAGTAAAATCAAACTACAAGTGCTTGCCAGAGTGAGAAAAAATCTCATAAACAACTATATGTGATAGTTTAGGATAAATTACAAAATTAAAACAACTATATGTGATAGTTTAGGATAAATTACAAAATTAACTCTATCTCCTAAACTAAGCAAAATCGTAGAACATACATGGGGGTGATTTAGATACACCTTGATGTAAGGAATCTTATCTTTGAACGTCAACTCCCTGGCCACCCTGTATAATACTAATACAGATACCTTATCCCATAATAGAAACGGGGACGACTTAAGTCAGCAAATCCTTCGGGCTACCGAAATAATATACCGTTCATAAGTGCCACTTGTGGTCTAAACTGAATAAATATTTTTGATTTTGATTTTGATTTTGAAAACTCGGGCTAGCGCTAGTGTGCCGCGGCGGGCAGCGAAAAGGACATTGACCAAAAATGTATGGAATGTGGTCCAAATGTCCACCACTAATGAAACCTATGTAGTAAAATAGTCTACTAAATACTGATTTATTATATCCAAACCGCAATCAAAAATATGCTGTCAGTAAAAAGTTATGACTGAATGAAAAGTCTGTTTTTTACCTTTTCATCCGAAAAATGTTCTTGATATCATTCTATCCATTGCACATTTTGGACTAATCTACGCATGTTATGTCATGTCGTATGTGGCGCGGGGTTGAGTTTTATTAAATAATATTTTACTAGGTGTGCCTACGACTTTGTACGCGTGAAAATAATTTTTACAACATTTGTCTTTACTGCTCCGCCCCTATTGGTTGTAGAGTGATGTTATTTATCCTAAAACTATCCTTGATAAATGGGCTATCCATAACAAAAAGAATTTTTCAAACCGGACCAGTAGTTCTTGAGATTAGCGCGTAAACTACTACAATTTTTCAAACAGTCATAACTTTTTACTGACAGCTTATTATTTTTTCGTCCCATACTGAAAATTAATCTCTATTTAATGGACTATAAGTCAATATAGGTCTCATTAGTGGTAGACATTTGGACCACTTTTGGTCATTGTCCTTTGTCCGGCCCACGCTCCACGACCCGAGAGTTCCCGCGGCTAATTTTAGCAACTTGTATGGTTCGAAGTTGCGGGATATTTATTTGGCGTGCTATGTCAAAAGATGGCACTAAAGTCAATAAGTTTACTGCTTTACTGATGAAGGCATGTACTAACTACTAAGTAATCGAACAGATATAAAGTCCGGTCGCCGAGCACGTAGAATTTCGTCCAATAACCCCAAGCTACCCTAGTGCTGTCGCGACTGTGCGACGGGCGGCCGCAGTGAGAATGCGAGCGCGACAGCAATATAATTACGCGCGATCGATAATTATGGGTAGATCGAGGTCATTGGACGAAATTCTACGTAATAGGCAACCGTACTTTAGTAGGATGTGATCTCAAAGTCAACTCAGTTCACAACCCTATTCAGTGGTGATATTAACTACCGTATCCTGTATTCAACATGTGTCCTTAACTTAAGACACCTTGGTTTTCAGACCACAAACCAGGTTACTCACTTGATGTCCTTGTGCCAGGACAGCACGAACTCTTGTTCTGCAGTATCGGCATCGGAGCACTTCCGCAGTTGTAAGATATCCGTTTGTCCGCCGTGGTGTGCGTCGATACAGAAGCTTGGGTCGATCACTGGCTTTACCTGAAATATTATAATAGCATTGTAGACGATGTGGTCGCCAGCGTGAGGAAAAGAGAAGTGAAAACACTGAAGTGTAGTTTTAAAAACCGATCCCGGCGGCAGGCGTGCGCGCCCTACCAAAGATGAGTTGCGACTGTCAAGTAAAATGATTTTAGGAACACCGCACGATTGCCCCCCAGATACGCTCATTTATTAAATAACAATAAAGCTTGATAACCAAAGGGTCCTGAACGTACATAAGGTAAGTAAATACAAGTACATCATACAGGTAAGTATTTGCATTGCTTATTTACTCTAATTGATTACTGAAATGACTATAGTAAGTGATTTTAACCAAAATGAAGACGCCTAATCTGTTAGTTTTAAGTACAAGAAGATAAGGTGTGTAAATAAAGTCAAAAAGTGATCAGGCGCTTCCTATATTTGTTTTCCTTTATTTTACATTATTTATTTTGCTATTATACATACACAAATGAAATATATTTTAACGATTTTACTTTATTTTTCAGGTTTTATTTTACAGGTTTTGCAGCAGTGTGGCCATCGCCAACAAGCATCATGAATCATCAGCCTGATTATTACAACATGAGGCCTGAAACTGCGTTATGCGGACGCCCGCGCATTTTCGCTTCGCGACACACACAACTCCATGACGCGGCTTTAGATTGCAGTGCTTTCACACATCTACGAGTATTTAGGCATGGTTTGGCAAAGACTTAGTAGTATTGCAGATAAGAAATGAAAAGGAAAAAGAGAAAGGAACTAACAAATCCGAAAATATTTCAATTTAAATGAATAAACTCACCCTTCCTTCCGCAAATGGTTTGGGTTCCACTGGTGGGTATTTTAGTGTCAAGTCGAATGCAACCTGAAATCCGAAATTATATTCATTTAAAAAACGGCAAATTACGGATTGGACATCGCAAACCAACAAGGATTCCGTAAAATCGTACAAGATTAAATACCATGTTTTCATTGCCTAATACCTTCAAACAACGCAAAACGCAGTAAATTTTTAATTTGAACCTTTGAACAACCCACAGCATAACATAACCAAATTTTTCATTATTTTTGGACCTTAGGGACCCTCCATAAATTACGTCATATCTCAAGGGGGAGGAAGAGGGTCAACGAAGTATGACATCGTTTGATAAGGGGGTAGGAGGGGTCCTAAATTTCCAGACGGCAAATTGTAAAATATGCGACGTCACACTAGGGAGGTGGGTCTCACAATAAATGTGACCGGTTGTGCAATGACAGGAGAGGGGGCCAAAATCATGAAATTCGTGTGACGTAATTTATGGATGGCCTTTTAAAACAAGCGAATATGGTTCAAAATATGGTGGGAACTATATTCCCACTGCCTTATAAAGGCCTAATTCGGTGCCTCACCTATTTGTTTGTCACCTGTCATCCGCTTTGCAATGGAGGGAAGTCGAACCTTAATTTCGAACTCCTCCTATGTTCTTCTGATTAATTTCGTTGCGGGTCCAATGACAGTTTAACTTTCCCCCGGGACAAACTTGACCTTCATTGGTTGGGTTTTTGCGGCGGTCAAGCTGTAGATCCTGGCTACACAGGAGTTGCAGTGGTGGGAACGAGAGGTGGGAATAGTCCCGTCACCTGGGTGATGAACCAGCGGAAGGGCTTGCACTTGAGCCGCTGGCGCAGCGCCTTCTGCTCGGAGATGTCTCCGGGGTCGATGCTGAGGTACTGCGGCCGCCGGTTGTACAAGTATTGAGCGTACTCGTCCATCCATACTTCGGCTACTCGCCTGTAATTCTGGAGGGTAGAACGAAAAATATTTACGTGAGAAAAAGATTTCATTTTATTCATTTATAAGCACTACCGTGCCCCCAGATAAGTAAACCTTAGACCAGTCTTTCCCAAAGTGGGCGATAACGCCCCTTGTGGGCGCTGCAGGTTTTTTAGGGGGGCGGTAAGAGACCCAGAAAAAAAAATCGGGACGTTGTGTAGAGGCTTGGGAGGCGTCATTTAATAGGAGGTCTCTTAGACACCGACTGAGCACTCGACTCTCGACTACAAATGAGGGCGCTAAAAAGAATTTTTTCTCAAAGTGGGCAGTAAACAAAATAAGTTTGGGAACCGCTGCCTTAGACAGTTTAAGCAACGACATTTTTAGATCGTTTCATCCACGAAAACGCGCCACTATTCTTCCTCTAATGTTTGAGTGTTATCGGTACACGCTAAATTATCCATGAGTGCACACGCACACTACAATAATGATGCTCGGATCAAACTCCCCGCACCCCGCTCTTCCCTCGACCAAAAATTGCTAGGGCGCGTTTTTGTGGATGAAACGATCTATAGTCCCAAACTTTGCAAAGCTTGAACCCATAGTTCCATACCGGACAATGAATTGAAACATACTTAAAAAAAAACTTTTTTAATTATATTAAAAAATATCCAGATTAATACAAAGAAATATTCATACAAAAACAAACAAATATGTAGTTGTATTCTGTGGAGAGCGTATCTTACGTACAGTCAGCGTCAAATACTTCGGTACATCCAAAGTAGCCAAAAAGTTCGCAACACGTCTTTGTTGCAATCGGAATAAGGTAAGTTCGCAACACGTCTTTGTTGCAATTGGAATAAGGTAAGTTCGCAACACGTCTTTGTTGCAATTGGAATAAGGTAAGTTCGCAACACGTCTTTGTTGCAATTGGAATAAGGTTTTGTTATCACTTTGGGTGTCACGAACTATTTGACGCTGATTGTACTTCTCCGTGTACGTATATGTGAGCGTATACATGAGCGATACGAGCCAAGGTGCAAGCTTATGTGAATCCGTGAGCATATACAAGGTGGAAACGATAAGTGATCTCATTCAATACTCAATCATTTATTGCATAACCACATTAGCACATTCACATTAGGTCTTACAATTTAGGCAGTTATTTTTTATTTTTTCTGGGACCTACCATTTATTATTATTATTCTTACGCATGAATATTTTGATTATTTTTTCGCTTGGTGTGCAGACGAAGGTGCATCGTGTTAAACGCTTTGACATCATAATTACTTTCTTGTGATGGGAGCTGTTTTGCAATCGGAGTGTGTAGCCTGATGTGCTGTCGACTGTACCTACCTAGTCTTTGTTCATTAAGTAACAGTGTTGTATTCTTCGCCTACCAGTAAGGAAATCGGTGTGTTTTTTTTTTAGTGATAACTGTGTTACTTGTACTGCAACCGGAGTAGTATTGCTGTGTTATAGCAGTGCTTCTTGGCCTCCGAGTATCCACGGAAGACCAGCGTCGTGGTGTCCCTTACGACACCTCGACATGATGCTGAGTGGATACCGTTTCGGTGACACGCTCATTACCTACTCTCTTTAATTTTGTCAAATATTTTTGATGCTGTTTTGTGTCGCTGAATAAAATATTTTATTTTCATTTTTTTTTCATTTTCATTTTCAGTTATACAATGTGGACCCAGTTAGGGCACAGCAACTTTAGGAAGGAGACAAAACGACGATCTAAATTCTCAGTAATCAGTTTTTCGATATCTTGTATAGTTTAGAAATAATCGAGTGAGATCACTTAACGTTTCCACCCTGTATGTCACGTGCGAGTGTTAAGACGTACCTTGCCGACGAAGTCTCCGTGTCCCGGGTTGGGGAAGGGCGCGAACTTGCGGTAGATGTGGCCCACGCGCGAGCACGGCGCGTCGTACATGGCGCCGCCGCACTGCCAGATCTACGAACGTTATTAATCAATGACAAAGTTGATGCTAACTTCTGACTCTGGTTATACAAAGTTATTTTTTGTATATACGAAAGCCGAAACACGTGTCACGTATTTTAATCTATAGAATCAGTATAAAAAAATTTAAAATTATACCTTAAAAAAGCTTTCCAAGCTTTATTTGTTGTCCCAATATCCGCACGCGAGTGTAGACATCATACAGCGCGCGGCACTTTCGTTGTTGACAACGCAATGTTTGTTAAGCTTTGACAACATTTTCCTTACGCGCAGAACATTTTAGTAAGGTGTCCGTAAATTATGAATTTGTAAATATTATTTAGTCAAAATGTTACATGATATAAAAAATATTGCGATGGATTCTATCACTGATTCTGAACAAATAGTTTTAAGGTTTCGTATATACTAAAAATAACCTTGTATAGGAGTAAGAAGGAAGAAACAACTGGTGGTATATGAAAATGAACACGCTCAAGCTAAAAATTTCAATTCAGCAACCGGGGGTAAGTCTACTAGCGCAAGACGAGGCCTAATAGGTTCTACACCAAGCTCTGAAGTACGGAATCATCAATCTAAATGTTGATTAAGTCTGCAATATCCTAAGGCTGGGTTGCACCATCTTACTTTAACTTTAACAGACGTCAGAAGTCTGTCAAACTGTATACAAAAACACTGATGATGAATATAGTCACAGTTAAAATAAGGTGGTGCAACTCAGCCTAAGCGAACGGTAACAAATCAAAGTTTATAAGAATTGGACTCAAAACGAACATCCAAGTCGAGAGAATCTCTCTTAACACTACGTGAGAACCATCTTACTAGAATCGCTCCGTCCGAACAGAAGCAAAGCATTCACGACTTTATTACCAGTAAATAAATCACATTTTACCTTGAAGCTGAGCTCGTACTGCTCGCCGCCCCAGATGTCGAGGCCGGGGTCGTAGCCGCCGAGCTCCCAGAAGAACACCGCCGAAATCGCGAATAGACCCCCAGCCATCACCGGACTCCTGGGAACGCAGAGATAAACGAATAAATATAGAGACAAATAAAAGGGACATACAGGATATGCCTGACAAGATATGCTTTTAAAACCAGATTCAAGGCTTATCTTCTTGAGCGTCAAAAACTGATGTAGTTTTGCACGTAACAATTTTGGGGACTGTTTGCACGTATCTACTGTTGGTATCTGATCTTGTGCCTTGTTATTCTCATTATCATTGTCATGTTTGTTGTTTCTGCTTTACTTAAACTTATGCCAAAATGTGTATGTGTCACCGTTGCTCAGTTGCGTCTTGTTTTTTAATGTTTACCTGCGCCTCTCCACCACTACAATCAGGCGACCACTGAAAACCAGCGTCGTGGTGCTACGCACTGCGGCATTATGCTGAGGAAGCCTATTTGGCATAATTTTTAAATTATTTTTTTATCGTATTAATTTTCTGTAATTTGTTGTTCTAGTATGCCAAATAAATGTATTTTCTTCTTCGTCTTCTTCTAATTACACAGACGAATAATAAATCTATACTAATATTATAAAGCTGAAGAGTTTGTTTGTTTGTTTACTTGAACGCACTAATCTCAGGAACTACTGGTCCGATTTAAAAAAATATTTCAGTGTTAGAAAGCTCATTTATCGAGGAAGGCGCTATAATATCATGTACGCTATAATATCATCATGATACGAGTAATAGGAGCAGAGCAACAATGAAAAATGATGCAAAAATGGGTTTTCACGCGTACGCAGTCGCGGGCACAGCTAGTCAAATTATATTTTTCGCCGCGTGGTGCGTAGCAACTGGATGTGCTAGTAAAGCTTCAACCACACCAACGCGTGCAGATCGCGTACAGGTCGACATCTTTGGTTGGTGTGGTTGAAGCTTAAGTAACGACATTAACTGATCGACCCTGAAAACGGAGAAGAAGAGAAATTACTTCAATCGACCAGATAACTTGAGATAACATAGCATAGTAGAAATGACAGTCAATGTTGCAGCAAGGTACCGGCAAGCGCGGCGAGTCAGGAAGCCGCTGGATGTAGATAGCTTTCAACCATTTTGGAAATCGTTGGAAAGACTTATGACTAAAATGATGAAGGCTGTAAAGATAATGAGATGACTCACTTGAAAGGCTCGGGCATGTTCTTCTCGTCCTTAGGCATCACGGGCAGCCGCTTATAAAAGAACTCCCAGTCAAAGGTACCTCGAGCGCCCTTGTCTTGCGCGCGGTACTATCAAGATGATGATGATGATAATGATGACGATGTTGACTCACTTGAAAGGCTCGGGCATATTCTTTTCGTCTTTAGGCATCACGAGCAGCCGCTTATACAGGGTGTTACTTTGCATTCTTGCCATATTTACAGAGGTGACTATATTACTGATACTGATCACAAATCCGTTAAAAAATAATGCCCGAAAAAAATTTTTTTTAATCTTGAGTATTTTATTTTATCGACAATGTGTTAAACACATCACTAATTATCGTAACGCATGCACATCACTTGTTGGCGATGGCAATGAAGACTTTTTTACTTTTTATTGTATTTTTAAATATCTATTGCAATCTATTGTCTTTAAAATGTCTTTTTGACACTTGTAAAAAACTGAGAAATCCATCAATCACAAATCACGTTATAAATTATACAAAAATGTCTGAAGTGTATTCAAACAACGAATAATTTAATCAAAATGGTGCCTGGAGTGTCTGCAAGACGTTTTAGACGAAATGCTTGATGACGTACCCTTAGCGTTACACCAAATGCTCTACTAGCAGCAGGATGGTGCTCCCCCACAATAAGGACGTCAAGTGTGCGAATAATACGTTTGGTGAACAGTGGATTGGACGAGTGGTCTAGTAGCTTGACCACCACGATCCTCGGACCTGACAGTCCTGACACCAATGGATTTTTGGCGTGACTTGAAACAACTGGTATGCGCAGAAGAGATAAACAGTGTAAACGCGTTACATGAAATGATTGTTTTAGTGAAACTGTGAGACAAAACGTTTATGTGTTGCGAAAACTAAAGCGGAAAACCTACGCTTCGCCGTGCTAGACTGTGCCTTCATCAGAACGGAGGACACTTTGAACACTTGCTTCGCAGTACGTAAACTTTGTAAGTAGGAACTTATAAATAAATAATTAATTGTGAATAAGGTGATTTCATTTCATACTTAATTTATTAATTTGTAAAAATAGGGTACAATGTTAAAATTAATTAAAACCCTAATAATTATTACGTATTTTTGACGGTCCTAAGCCCGTAAAGTAGAAACTGAGAGTAGAAAGGAAAATCTGAAATCACTGGATAAAAAGGCTGGTACCCAGAGCCATAAAACAACAGATTATTAAGAACTAGGCCACGCCCACTAGGTTTATTCCACTTGCACCTGTAGAACGTGCGAGACAAAATTGGTTTATTCCGATTTGTACTGAAAAACCAAATTTACTAAAATCTTAGTGTACTTTCTTTATGGGAGTCTCTTGTTTATCTTAAATAATAGGTATTGTTCCCTACTTTTATCTCTGTGAATATGGCAAGAATGCAAAGTAACACGGTGTAGAAGAACTCCCAGTCAAAGGCACCACGAGCGCCCTTGTCTTGGACGCGGTACTATTATGATGATGATGATGATGATGATGATGATGATGATGACTCACTTGAAAGGCTCGGGCATATTCTTTTCGTCTTTGGGCATCACGGGCAGCCGCTTATAAAAGAACTCCCAGTCAAAAGCTCCATGAGCGCTCTCATCTTGCGCACGATACTATCAAGATGATGATGATGATGACTCACTTGAACGGTTCCGGCATGTTTTTCTCGTCCTTAGGCATCACGGGCAGCCGCTTATAGAAGAATTCCCAGTCAATGGCTCTTCGAGCGCTCTCATCTTGGGCGCGGTACTCTCAAGATGATGATGTTGAAAATGATGATGATGATGATGACTCACTTGAAAGGTTCCGGCATGTTCTTCTCGTCTTTAGGCATCACGGGCAGCCGCATATAAAAAAAACTCCCAGTCAAAAGCTCCACGAGCGCCCTTGTCTTTGGCGCGGTACTATCATGATGATGATGATGATGATGATAATGATAATGATAATGATGATGATGATGATATTGACGATGGTTATAATGATGATGACTCACTTGAACGGTTCCGGCATATTCTTCTCATCCTTAGGCATCACAGGCAGCCGCTTATAGAAGAACTCCCAGTCAAAGGCACCTCGAGCACCCTCGTCTTGCGCGCGATACTCGAAGGTGTCGTAGGCCACCACGTCGATGAACGGGCACATCACTACCCGGTAGTTTAACGCTATGGGCTCTGAAAGGAGACATTGGAAGGTGAGATGATGGCAATTTATACACTATGTGGTTGAAATAGGAACGATTTTGCAACAAAAGTGACGTATGGAAAGAGCCTGACTGATTTTTTGTGTGGTTTCTTCTCAGATATGGCCAACATTATTGTCCCAAAACAATGCCAGTGTTTAAGAGGGACGTGTAAAAGTGCATTTTAAAAAAATGTTTGCAAATATAAATTACCTACTTATATTTTATGAATTTTTTATGACTTGCAATCTACTACTTGTACCTTCACTTGTCATGTGCTTGGCTACGTAATGACCTCAGATAGTCGCTGGCGTTCATAAACTTGTCTAGTTAGTAACATACTCAGCAGCGATGGAATGCAGTTGACATATTGGTCTCCCCACTTGGCCAGTCGCACTGCTTCACTTGGCACTTTGCCATACCCAGCAGCGGCGGGAGCCAGTTGACGTTGGGCTCGGTGTGCGAGTCCAGGAATATCAGCACGTCCGAGGTGGCCAGCTTGGCGCTTGGCCAGTCGCACTGCTTCACTTGGCACTTGGCTACATACCCAGCAGCGGCGGGAGCCAGTTGACGTTGGGCTCGGTGTGCGAGTCCAGGAATATCAGCACGTCCGAGGTGGCCAGCTTGGCGCTTGGCCAGTCGCACTGCTCTTCCATTTTTTATGATATTTCGACTTTTCAGAGATAATTTTCACCAACGATTTAGAAAACCAAGAGGGATAACGAGAATTATTATTAACTGTCTTATGGGGAACATGACTAGAAACAATTCCATTTATAGTATCATAAAAAATATCAACGGCTTCTTGGATACTTCTATCGGCCAGCAGTTCATGCCAATTGACCGACCTAATTTCGCCATTAATAATATCATAATTAGCTGCACGAAAATTCGGAACAACTCGCAGCGCTGGTCGAAGAATTCGCGGTTTAATATGAGACGTGCGAATCGACAGAGCAGGGTGGTGCCGGTCCTCCGCAACAAGAGGTGTCGGACAACGATTGACAAGACATTCAAAATTGACACTTTGAAGTTTCGAAGGTAAATTACTAGAAATTCGCTTCTTACAAATGGATCTCTTCGAACTCAGCCTGGACCTTCAACACGCCCAGTGCCCTCTAATATACCTCTAAAAGGCTGTATGGTGTTGAGCATTTGATCCTCACCAGTCAGAATCGTAGGAATTGTGCTTTATGCAAAAACAAACAAGTGTTTTGCAGAATTTCGTGCCTAAATTGTACTAACTGTGTAATTATTCAAGGTCCTAAATTAACCAAATAACATTATTTTACACTATTTGCTATAATTTGATGAAATTATAAACTAATTGTGTAATAAACACGACTTTTATTTTAAATACTTTATACTATGAAAATCTACATTCTGGTCCAATATATGCCCATGCGGTCGTTTTCGACCAACAGAACTTTTGCAAAAAATAACAAAGCACATATTTATATTTTCATAACACTTCTTAGTTACTTACCTTGGAAATATATTCATTTCAATATTTCAATCGCAATAATCGTTTAAAACAGAATACATAAAAGAATATTTAGATTTTTGTAAGACTGAGTGCACTAATTTCAACAACAAAAAAATCAGTGAAATTCAATTTCAAATTCTAAAAAAAGTGGCTGCGTACGAACTTAGTAACTGTTAAATTTCATTAGGAAGTTCTTTCAACATTATATTTATAGCGCTAAAACAGAAAACAAACGTACAGTTTTTTTGTAATTGGCATCGCAAGAGAACATGTACCATTGGGTCGTTTTCGTGCCTCTGGGCATATATGGGTTATGTAAATGAAAATCTATAACACTTGTTTAATTTAGTACCTTAGTCAATGGCTCTTTCTTGGCGATGAGGTCTTCAATAAATGGACACACTTTTTCATTGTCGATGCAATTTACGAAGTCCTCTTCGCATTGGATGGTGTCGTGGAAGTCGAAATCGTCGGTCGTCTGAAAAGAAAATAATTTTGACGTGAAACTATAATAAATAACTTTTGGTTTCATCCAGATTCAGGATCACTGTAAGTACTTTGTGGTACTTATATAATTTTATTAAACTTGTATTTTTTTTTAACAATAATACATATTATAATGTCATTAGTTCTTCTCAGAAAGTACTTATCACATTCGACACGGAAATAGACACCAATAGCATTTTCTTCCGTCTTTTTGTTTATACCTCTTATTCTAACTAGATTTTACTTACCCCCTTTGTTCATACCTCTCCTCTCTTTTACTTTTACATCTTGAATCATACCTCAAGTTTTTCCTTCATACTTCTTTTTTAGTTCATACCTCTTTTTTATGATGCGTCAGTGAGTACTAATCTGCGCGACTTTGTCACCCCCTGATGCTTGGCACCCGGGGCGGACCGCCCCCACCGCCCCCCCCCTTACGCCGCTACTGTACCTCATTTATACCTCTTTAATGTACTCGGCGATGGCGGTGTGCGTGGCGAGCGCCTGCTTGTTGGCCAGCATCTGTGGCAGCCGCGACACGAACTGCTTGATCTCCTGCACCGACTTGTCATTGTGGCGTTCGTCGAGCTGCGTCTTGATGACGCGGGCTTTCTTCGAGAGTGCTGCGCCCACCTGAGGTAAGAAATAATAGTTATTTTGGTACCAACTTTATGAGAGTGCAATCAACGCTCTTCTCTCGTTCTATTAGTGAGTAAGCTAAAAGCAATTGTAATTCACTTGGATCAACTAAGTAAATGGTGTTTTTGCAAGACCGTGGAGAAGCCCGAACATGAATAAGTGTACTATAATGGCAGAGTTCAGAGCTTTGGCTAAAACTAAAATTTTTCGAAGACAAAATTCGGGCGAGTCCCACACAATATTTAAATAAATTGCAATACATTATTGTATTTAAATTGAAGCATTTACTTAAGTATTTATTTACAACATACCGCAGTAAAGTTGCAATCTCTCAGTTCAGCGAACAGTTCCTCGCTGGAGTTGAGTATGATGCGTTTCTTCTCGCGCGCGGTCACTTCAGGGCTGGCGTCGTCTGGGCTCACGAACTTGTGGCCGGGAAACGTCGCCGTAGAGTTCTTGATGCCGAATAGCTCGTCTGAGAACAAAAGAATCAAATTTATTTTGTACCTCTATTTTTATTTTGTACCTCTTAGCTATTTTTTTTGTACAAAATATGCGTTTTAGTATCTACACTAGTTTGTTAGGTAGAGTCGGATTTTTCGTAATTCCTTCACGCAAAAATTACTGGACGGATTTTCATTAAAACTAAATGTTAATGCATCAGAGTAGCACATAGGCAATATTATCTTAAAGTCTGCGATCAGAAGCTAGTAAGTTATGACCCAAGTGATTACTTGCTTAGTGTTGTTTTTGTGACCTAAAAAAATAAGGGAAAAGCTGCAATGTCAAAACAAAGATTAACACTTACCAATAAGTCCTTCGTATGTGAGTTGTGTCGTCATGACACTGGTGAAGTCGATGGCGCGGTCCAACAACAGCAGGTGGTCAATGCAGGACGTGGCGGAACCTTTCGGGCCAGTTCCCTGTTCTTCTTTGTTCAGTCGGCAGAGCAGGTCCCATACCTGGCCAGTTAGAAAATAGTTTTAGAGTCAGTATATTTTAAAATAGAGTTCAGAGTAATTTTTTTTAATGTTTACTAGTATTTGTTATACAATTTTATTGCTAACTGTACTAGCATGTCTACCTACATTCAGCTAAGCTAAATATTATGCTTATGTTTGGAGTGGGTTGACCACAATAGCTTCATAGTTCATGATGATGAAACTTTTCAAAATATTTGTAATTGAAACTGATTCTGAGTATCTTGTCCAGTCTGTATTTTACAAACCTGTTTAGCAGCAACTCCTTTGCCAAAGACCCGTGGTATGATGCCATACAGTTGCTGTATGGTACGCAGGGCCTGAGCCGAGTTGTAGATGCATGTTGGGTCTCCCTCAAGGTAGTTTTCTCTATGAAAAAGTAATAAAATGTTGAAATAAAAAAAAAATTAGTATTGATTTCAATTTAATGAGTAGGTAGAGACCATTATATTAATATGTAAACAAGGGTTTTTATGATTAGGTATGATAACATTTTAATTAGTTACAATTCTGGTTTTTAAACACTAGATAAAATGGGTTCAAAGTGCAAAATATGAATGTTAGAATCATTAAAATTTACATGAAAATATTGATATTAAAATTTTTTCAAGTGAAAGCAAGTAACCTCTATGACTTGATATAGGTAATCAATAAATAAGTGTGATATCATTTTCTTACACATGATTAACACAATACTTTAATTTATTAGCTATTGTTTTCTAAAATTGCTCACCTGAAGTCATTCTGTAGTTCCAACGACATGACGTCACTCTCAAAGGGGAAGATGTCACACTTGAACTCTTGGACGGAGAGGTTATTGATCACTCCCCTGTTGGAGAGATGCTTCTCACAAAGCTCACTTCTCCGTGGCACAAAAAATAGGTGGAATTCCACAGGAGTACTTTGCTTGGATCTGCAAAAGTAAAAATATTGTTTCAATAATTATCTTGAGAGTATTTAATATATGAAATAGACTAAAAAAAAATAACTTTGTTGGTTATCATTAGAGGTCTAATTTAGTACATAAGCCAACAATTTAACAGTTTGTTTGTAGTCCAGATAAAAAGGATTCTCATTTTGATTCATAAAGTGTTTGATAAATTGATTTGGTAATTTGTAAACTTATCAATAGGTATCAAAATTATTATAATAAGTAAGTAAACAGACATAATTGTTATTATAGTTTTACCTCAAGGAAACAATATAATCAGCTACAATGTCCATCAATGTCAGTTTTGGGCGGGCAATAAACACAATATGCTTGACGGAAATTGTGGGGAGGCTGCCAGGACGTAGCGGGAACATGTCAGCGACTTCATGCTCCTTCAGCAAGGAGTATTGAGCTACCAGGCCTACTGGGCCTGCCAGCCACTCATCCCATATTGTCACCTATAATAAGAAATTTAATTGAATCCAAATGTTTTTTGGTTGGGAGTTGGGACAATCTACAAATTTTATCTTCTTTGCAATAAATTATTTGTTACATTACAGAAGATTATAAGGACTTCTTTTTATGAAAATATCCATGTGCCAGTGACGTGATTTCGTGATTGTAACACATAAATCCTGTAATATTTAGGTAGTTTGGGATAGGATTTCACAATACGCATTATTTATCATTGTACCAACAAGACAAACTGCAGGAAAATAGAAATATTATAATCTTACTTTTGGCCCTTCACAAAGTTGTAGTAAGTTTAGCAGCTCTTTTCTCATTGTTTCTTGCACTAGAGCCACGTTTAATCGGCCCCCTGATAAATGAGTGCTCATCTTTGCCTCCTTCATTGTTTTAAATTAGTTTAGAGATTTAAAATTATAATAATTTGTCGTTCCAAAACACAAAAACAGTGGCTGATGAACAAAACAACACGTCAAATTGACAGCTGTTAGCATGACGTCTGCTGTCGAAAAATTATGTGTATTTTTTTTAATTCTTAAACAGCGCAAGGGAAGTATTAAATTTAATTAAATATACATTTTATTATACTTCCAAAATTCAATTACTCTAAATTGGTAGAAAGTTCATTGAATGTGCCGTTCCGGAATCGAATCGCCACGTCTTAATACAAGTTCATTGTATTTAAATTATGTAGTCTTTTCAAATTAGAGACACCGGGTTTGCATAATTATGAAAAACGGAACGGACCCAAGTTCTACAGAAATGCCTTCAGATTTCAGGAGTTCCAGACTACATATTCGTCATGTCTAGACTGAAGTTCTATATTGCTGATAGAATCACAGAATAATAATAAGTACACAGAATAATAATAAGTAAGTACTACGATAGAATTATATACCTACTCGTTTAAAAACACGAAAAGTAGGTAATTAACCGACGCCGCGACGGTAACGGCACAATTTACTTAGATGATCTTAACGTTAGAAGGCGATCTCTTCCAGACAATCCGGAAACGGTTAAAATCTAAGTAACCTCCTCAATAAAAATATTTTAGTGGTATTTGGGATTCGATATCTCCCTTTCACTAGTAATTTAGGTAATTTCTATTTATAATAATAAATCATTATGCTAATATTATGCTGAACCCAATCAAAAAACGATAGCTGACCTATTATTATGGTAATCGTGATTGACAGTTTGGAAAAAGAAATCAAATAAGTTATCTTTAGGAATAGGGGTAGTCATAATGGCCAGTGTTTGTAAACAAATGCAAATAAGCGCTCGATGAAATTATTAACATTAGATAGTAATAATTAGGTCACTTAAGTATGGATGTTCGAAAAATTAAGTAAATTAGGAAGTAAATTACTTAATCAAAACTAATAACTTTTAAACTAATACTACTTAATGGTTTTGCCTTGGTGGAATGTAATTTTTTAGCTGATGTCTTGACCTTACTGATATTATAATGTGCACCAACTCGTTTCCCAACAAGAAGATTTAGTCTTTTTAGACCCAACAATCACCGGGGGGTACGGATACCTACCACACGACCATCAATCTTAGAGACCAGCTAACTCTACTCGGAGCCCCGAGCTATACCTATATTGTATTTGTACATAAAGTTGTACCGAGCGACCGGGTGTTATCATTCGCTAGGAGCGGGCGGTGCGCGCGGCGCTCATCGATTTTTCCACAAAACAACTCATTTGAATCCATCACTGACATTACAAACACGTTTAAAACAAACCGCAGACGTTCCGTACGCGTTTTACACGGTGTCAGTGGAAAATGTGAGTGTTTTCCCGCGAAAATAATGCAACTCTCCCCGCGCGAGGAAAACTACTATGGCCGCCCTGAATAAAGGTAAGGTTCAACTTTTTCTCGTGGGATAACAGTTTTGTTTTCTTAAGTTATTTGGATTGTGTGCGATTTTTATGCAAATGTGATGTGGAAGGTCGGCTTTTTAGGGCAGCCTGTAAGTTTGTTTGAGATGATAACAGCGAGTGTGGGCGAGAAATGGCCATGTGAGCGACTGTTTGTAATCTTGTTTTCATGGTATTAGAGATAACGTGAACGACTTTAGCTAAACTTAATTTGGAAAAATACCAGTTTCATTATCTATTATTTTTTTGGTTTAAACGTAAATTTCAGTTTTGTGAGGATTTGGTATGCCTGAAATTAATTAAGTTTTATTTAATTTTTATTTCACATTGTTCGTTTACGAAGCATCTACTTAATGTTGTTTTCTAACTTGCATACTATCTGCACAGTTTTCGTTTCACATGCTAATTTGTTCAAGTTGAACCATGGTTAACGATCTATTTACGTATTCCACACTTGTTGCGGGCTATCTCTACTTCACTAACGGTAAACTTACTTTAGTTGTAGATAAAATATGATGGTTCAGTTTAAATGCTAAAACTTCGTTTAGTATGTAGATAATAACGTGTAGGAGAAACACAAAATCACCAAAAATTCAGTCTTTAAGTAGGTATTAGTTTTTTCTAATGAACCAACCCGTACCCCACGAACTTAGATATTAATTAAATGAGTTCTAGTCCGTAAGTCCCAGTTTAGGACTATACTTATTTCAAATAAGTTATTTGGGTTCGTATACCTACTGGTTGAAGTTGAAATAATAAAAACAAAAAAGTAATCTATTAAATAAATGCTGTTAGATCAGTCTATGACAGAAATAAAAAACAATTGCTTTTAGGGCATTTGCATACCTTGGCTTGGGTCCACCAGAAGAAGCATAAAAAAAATTTGTCCAATTAATCGAACCAATCGGAAAAAATTGTTCATGTGGTCCGATCGGTAGGACAAAGGCAGTAGAGGAGCACGTGGCCACAGGGTAAATTAATTACTTACTTCTAACGAACTTATTAGTAGTGTTTTAATACCTACCTTATACTTAGGTATGTACTAAGTAGCATTGAGGTTGTTTAATATATGTACGGTAGGTACTAACTAAGGTACGTAGTAGCTGTAGAGATATATCAAGCAATCACGTTTACAAAGGCCGTCGAGCTTTTGACACACTTGTCTCCGTTTTATTACTCGTGTAGTCCAATTTTCTGACTGTTTTTGGGTCGGATGGTGGATCTTTTAATGGGTGTTTTGTCCGCGTCGCCATATTGACATTGTAACAATAGAGGCGAAGAGGTAAATAGCCGTTTGGATAAGAATCTACCTTGTGGTTCGTTGATCTATCAAGGATATTATAGTAATACAGTACGAAAGTATGTTTGTACGTATCACGCCTGTACCAAAGTATTTTTTATTTACTTGAAACTTTATTGCACAATTATAAAAAACAGTGTACAAAATACGAACTTATTGTCTAAAGGCATTCTCTTAGAGTTAACCTAACACACTATCTAAAATAAGAATACCTACCAGGCATGTGTTATGCACAGACTAGCATACTTAAGTGTTAATAATATATTTCTCTACCGGCAACTAACGTCCTTACTAACGCCTTATTTGAGGATCATGCCCCACACGGGTCGTAAGGCCCTTAGGCGGGCTCTCATATTAAAGTCCTAATAATGCTGCGAAAGCCCACGGCAGTAATACTCGTAGCCCATAAAAAGCTTTTAGAATCGTTTCTTATAAGAGTTACAAAGCCGCGAGCGCCAACTTAATTTTAAAATTTTGGCAGCACAAAGGATTTGTTCACGAATATGGTTATCAGAAAAGTGTCTTATAAGAGCCTCGCTTAATGTACGCACGAATAAATCGCTCATAATAATTTTTTTTAACAATAAACACTCTTTTATTGCCACTTCACCACAGATTAATAAAAGTTGGTTAAATAAAATGAACGAGCCTTTAAAGGGTGACTCAGATCTGAATATTTATAACTGAACTAGCTTTCCGCCTGCGGCTTCGCCCGCGTGGAATTTCGTTTGTTAAATTTTCCTGAATTTTCTTTGCTATAAACCTCACGAAGCCCGAGACCTTTTCAACGAATGCAAAACCGTGGAAATCGGTTGGTGCGTTCTGGATTTATAGCGTCAGGAAGGAAAACCCGACTTATTTTTATATAGTAGATTTAAAATATTATGTTTGAAAAAATAAGTAAAAAGATCGAGACCTGATTCGGAACCACCCCTATACTTTTTGTAACATTACAATATTTTACTAGTCTAGTTAACCAACCAACGCTCCAAATACCGATTTTGCCAAGGCCAAGGTCGCACTCTTGACAGAATGTTTATTTAACTGACAATATTTTACTTTATCACTAACTACTTTTTATTAAACTGGCCGACCCAACAGATGTCGTTCTGTCAAGGGAACCATTAGTTTTGTCAAATCAAGCGTGTTGCTGGCCCGATTGCCTACTACAGAAACGGGTACTATTTACTATTTTCTAGGCGAAATTTTACCAATATTTATCTCTGGACCTTTTCAGATGACAACGAAGAACTTTGACAAAGTGGTCCTACTCGAGTTCCGCGCTACGAGTTAGTAACTAGAAATAAACTAGATTTTGATTTATGACTTACTGTTCATGATGAAACCAAAGTTAGATAGATGGGTTGACATACCAGACGATACATATTGTATTGCAAATAAGCCTATGATAGTAATTAGTTTGTGACCAAATAAAAGAGAGGTAATTGTCTATTTTAGTTTTAAAAATAGATTACAAGGGCAAAACTACTTATAACAAAACAGTTCTAAAATCGATAGGCTATGTATTGTATCGCGGCAGCGCAGTCACATCCGCATTAGTATGTAGGTTAACTGATAAGAATAATTTTCCATGAGCACTCGAGGCTGTATAACCTCACTTCCCTAGCCAAAGTAACAGAAAAATGGCACGCGAAGAAAGTTGTCCCGCCCACGCTAGTTTCGTAGTAATTTCGTAGCAATTTGTACGGCTTCGTAGTCATTCGTCTACATTTTTTCAGTTTGAGATAACAATGATAGAATACACTTGTATAACTTGTATTGCGTATTTTACCGGATGCGTAATTTTATGTAATAGTTATTAGATGCTAGTAAAATACGTTTTAGGGTCAACAAAGAATTATTGTACTACACAGTGTTTGACTACTGCAGTCATTAACGTTTCATTTTGTCTATGCATAATTATTATTGTAATTGGCTACAAATAAAGTTTTTTATTTATTTATTTATTTATTTATTGTAGTTACGGAGACGGAGAACAGCTTGGGCTATAAAAAAATCATAATTTTTGTTCAATGACCTAATGTTTTTTAGTTTCCATACAAATTGGATCAATTGTTGGATGTAGTATCGAAATCTTAAAAGAAACATTAATATTTATAACATTAATATAGGTACCACCTTCTTCAACTATTTCATTAAAATTTCGTAGTAGGTATAGAAGCGTGTCGTCTCATATTACAGTATACGGTCTACAGCATCTCAAGGTAAACATTCTGTCTTATGAAGAAGTAATAAGAACGGATTTGGAAAAAAAATGTATTCTGATATGTTGTCGACTCTACCTATTCTTCCATGAGTTACAGTTCGCGTAGCGAAAAATTAAATCTAATATTAATTACCATCCTTTTTCAATGTAATTACTTAAGAAAGTATCTTTTAGATAACGTCTTAGAAACCGGATCTTGTTAAAAGTACTTTGCCTTGGGCTTCTTTTAAATCCCATCGTTAAACTCAATATCTCATCTAAGAAATGTCTTTTTTTTAATTCTCTGAAAGGATTTACGGTTATCCTCACTCGTTAAAATTAAAGATCTCTAGAACAATCGGTAGAGTTATGAGAAAGATAGGGAAGTAAGTAATTGAAGCTGCGTTGCACGTTCAGTATACAGATCACAGCCCCATTATTTGCCTGGAATATCAAGTTAATTGTTACGAAGCTAATTTAATACTAATTAATTATTTCTTTTTAATAGCAAATGCTCCTAAATAAACCAACTTTGGTAAGTTTCAGGTTTTTCAGACCTAAATATTTCGTAAGCATCGGTCAAGCTGTTTCGGACTTTTACAAACACTGACACGAGAATTTTTCATATATTTGAAAGTAGGTAAGTCCAAAAGCTTACTAAGCGATAAAACAGAATAGTCTGTTTCTTTTTGATAAAGAAATCTAAAGAGGATAGGATACGCTTTATTCCGCTTGTATTTACAAGTGGTGTACAAATACCCGTTTTATTTGATTTTATATTATCATTTCTCCACCTAGCACGTGTAAACGAAATTCAAAGAAATAGGTATACAAATCAATTTCGTAAATATTAATATTACAATTCAACAAATCTCATATTCCCCGAATGTTGTCTCGTTTACCAAATATTACTTGTAAAACATTTACCGAGCTCCCTAGCACCATAGCAACGAAGTAAGAGTAAGCAATACAGTTATAACTTTCTATATTATTTTGATATCTCCACTTGAGCACCGAACGTAGCAAGATTGATGGGTCCTTGAAAATATTTGGGACCTTGTTACATAAAGGAGAATTTATGCTTACTTTTCCAACCTCTTTAGGGATGGGGAAACTGTTTCCCACTTTAATCGACTTGTACTAAAGTTTGGAATTCGAGGTAAAATATTATAATATGCTCTGTACTCATGAACAATCTGACAATGATCCTTTGTTCATTGGAGTAAGATAGATATTCAATGACTCAATGTCTTTGATGTTTGCATGCTACGGTTAGATATGATATGTTGATATTGACTGTTCATTTGGGAGATTGTTACTACGAGTACCTACTCGTATTACGTAGTCGGAGTATGTATGTATTCAAATATGGTCTAATGTACTATTACCGTAGTGTACTAGGCTGACAGTTTGTATAATGTAGAGAATGTAGATTATGTCGAAATTATTCTTCGAAGTCTTTTGAAAAATTGCGGTTGTACACGACTAAAATATTATGGTTGTTAGCTCTAACAAGTAAATTTTGTCATAAAAAGAAAAATATCTCAACCTTAACCGGGTTTGCTGGAATTAAAGTGAGAAATTGTCGCTTCGCTCCTCGATTGTTTTCTGTGCCTACAGCCCTCGCTCGCGATCATCGTTCAAGCTGTCATACCCACCGCGGTATTCGTTGCTGCTGAAAACCTACCTAATTCAGCCCAGTATGACAGTCGTTATCTATTCCCTACCTTACAGTGTTTAGGAAGAGCCTAAAATATTATGGTTGTTAGCTCTAACAAGCAAAATTCTGTTGACAAAGAAGAAAGGGTTTGCTGGAATTAAAGTGAGAAATTGTCGTTTCGCTCCTCGATTGTTTTCTGTGCCTACAGCCCTTGCTCGCGATCATCGTTCAAGCTGTCATACCCACCGCGGTAATCGTTGCTGCTGGAAACGCGATTAATCTTACCTTTTTCAAGTTCAGCCCGTTTCTGAGATTAATGTGTGTGCCAAGGCGAGGCTGCGGTAGAGATAGGACGGTCGGAATTATCTGGATTGATTCTTTAGGTTTAGATCGGCAGATCGATTTTATGGTTCACAAAAAGACTCCATGAATCAATGTCACTCTATTCATAGTCTTGAAGATTAAAACAAGAATTTATCGTCCAAAGTTGTTGTCTAAGTTTTATAAAACGAATGATGTTCGAAACTCTGTTCTGTGATTGGTTTAAGTATTGAAAATCCAATTACAGGCTTGAATTTATGATTGAGTAACAATTGAGTTTTGCGCATTATGTTGTTATACTTATTTACCCTTGAATAAATGAAACGAGTAAAGTACCTAAACAAATTCGTATACCTACAAAACATAACTACAAGTTTTATTTTTGGGTTAGCTTTAGCTGAAAAAATTACCTTAAGAGTAAAAATACAGGACCAATATAAAAAGAGTTGCCTACAGTTTGGCAACTTCATACGGATCGTAGGCCAATAGGCACAATGCCAGCTCAATCAGATAAAATGAAGCTGGTTTGACCACACCAAATGTACCTAATATTATTCCTTGATTACTTCAAAGAATATTTTGTTCTCCTGGGACAAGGACATCTGGTGAACTTCTTCATATATTTATAAAACACGTTTACATAGCTTAGTAGTAATGGAGCTGTCCGGAAAACGAAAGGTCGTGGATTTAGATTTTACCTGAGGCAGTTGATTTTTTTAATTTTAAATTCATTAGGATTATTTTTTTACTACAAGGAGAAGGTACGCGGTAGCCAATATATTGCTAACTGCCTAATAGCTGGTTCTAACGAGCATAGTATTCAGAACGAGCCTATCACAATAAATCACTAAAATACAGTATCATATTTATTGACAGCCAAATCGTTATTGTATTCGCTACAAAGCTTGGCAAACGAATCGCAAACTGGGTACCTACCATGAGTTTACGTTAGGTGTGCTCGCTAGCGAGTACGTCAAAAAAATCTATGAAGATTTTGTTTCTTGAAAGTAGCCGCTAGGGGGCGCTGTACAATATGTCATACATTTAATGTCAATTTTTTACGTAGTCGCTAGCGAGCACACCTAACGTAAACTCATGGTAAGCACACTGATTGTTGATCGTGATTTGTTTCGCTACAAAGCTTTGAAAACAAATCGCAAACTGCACATGACAGCGCATTCGATCGAGCGGGAGAACAAAGTAACCACTCTGCTAATTGCCGGGTTTGTGTGGTTGAATTCGCCGTTTGTTTCATTTCACAAAGTACGAGCGCAAATTAACGCTGTTTCTCTGTAGGTAATATTCAGAATTAACTCGTGTTTAGTAGTGAATTTTCATGAACGTAGTCAATATACAGGGTGGAAACGATAAAGTGTTCTCACTCGATTATTTATTTCCAAACTATACATATTATTATCGGAGAAACTGGTTCCTGATCTTGAAAGTGCATCACGAACTCTATCAAACGGTTTCAATAGCTTACAGAATAAACTGGATCTATCTAAATTTAATATTTCCAGCTTCCATGCATTTAATTACAGAACTTTAAGGATCAAGGGGGCGTAGTGTGAGTTTATGTCAAACGCATTCGATATCAACTGCAAAAACCTAACGAAAACTTTTAACTTTTAAGAGTCGATATCGAATGCGTTTGACGTAAACTCACACTACACCCATGCTACGCCCCCAGTAACCAGTTTTTCGATATCTTATCTTGTATAGAGTTGAGTCGAGAAATCAAACAATCGAGTGAGATCACTCATCGTTTCCACCCTGTATACCTTCCGTCAACGATGAATTATTTCCAAGTTAAATTTCCACGCCGCTTACCGGAACAAGTGAAGTAAATTAGAGATGAATGAGTGAGCATATTTCAGACAAGTACGTGGTTGAAAGTTAAATACTCCGTAGCATGAAACAGCTACGAAACGCTACGAGATCTTTCTACGAATTTCACTTTGAAATCAGTTAACTTGTGGTTACGGGAGGATTTCTTACTTTTAATGGAAAGGTTCTTCTTTAACATTCTCACTTTTTAAATTAAATAAAGCAATGTAAATACTTAACCGTACTTTGTCAGATGGGATAAGGAATCATTTTTCCTTTAACCTACATAAATCTAATTAATTTAAAGAGTTATGTTTGTAGACTCATTGGTAGGTGTTGTCCAATATCATTAGGTCTTGTATTTACGCAAGTGAAGTGCCCCATTTAATACTGCAGATACGGAAATAGAAGTTTTCATTATTAATGTGGGATATAAGATTTTAATATTTATATTTTAGTATTAATGTGGGAGTTCTGCATTTGCACATGTGGATTTGAATAACCAAACCTCCGTCGTAGTTAAACTCAATTTAGTTTCAAACTTAGTTTCAAAGGAGACTAGGCGATAGAGGTCCAGGCACGCACTTGCTAGAAAATGTGTAGACTTGATTTTTATGTATAAAAATACGAGGTACTCCAAGCAGTTCTTCATCAGGATGTAAGAGCCATTTTATTAGATATTCCCGAGACTAATTTTGATAGGCACAAAAAACGGACAACACAACGAGTATCATGTTTATGTTGACTCTACACCTACAGTAACTCACTAATGGTCCCATTTGCGATTCCGTAAATAGATTTGAAAACAAATTAATTTTGAAATACTGTTTTTGAAATAAAGGTTTTTAATTAGTCGATACCATCGGTAAACACTCTGTATGTTTACTCAATTGTAGTACAGATAATATAATACATTTTATAATTCTAGTAACATCGCGGCATCGCAGACTTTTTTTGCTTACCTACTTCGTTCCTTTTTTCCTTACACATCCACCGACATTCAAAACAAATAAATATTATGCTTGACTTTGACTTTATAATGATTTTATTTTAGGTATAAAAACTCTATACAAAATAACCTTTAAATCATAATAAAGGAATGCAAGTTCGTGTAAAATAAATGGGCAAAGTTTTATAACTTAGTTTATAACATTAAAAAGATACAGCCATGTCAAAACAAAGTTGTTTTGAAATTCGTTTTTATAATCCAGGCGACGGTGTGCGATGTGCGCGACCGTCTTTTGTCTTTGAAGAATAGTCTAGAGAAAATACTTCATTAGATAGGATTTTGTTCTCGTTTAATTACTCAGTATCTCTGAGGTGATTACGGCGAAGCCAGTAGAAATACAGAAGAGTAACCATTACTTGATTACCGAATAAAAGAAAAATATCGTCACACAAAAAGGATTTTCGGGGATAATCTAGGATAGCCGGTTGAAGTGGAAAATAATCAGAATTCTTTGTATTGGATTTTAAAGAGATTTATTTCTTTTGAATCCAGCTTGTTTATTTCGTCTTTTTTTATTTTTTGTCTGTGAAACACTCGAGTGTTGTATTTTTCAGTTTCGCTAACTTCAGTTTTTTTGTCGAAACGAAAAGAAGAAGAAGTTTTTTACTGGTTTTGAAACTTCAAGAAAATTATTTAATTTGGATTAAGTTTAAATTGTTATAATTGTTTTAAATTTTGAGAGAAGTTGATTAAACTCACGAGTTGAACTCTTGTAATCGCGGCCGTTCAACTAGTAACTTGTTTCTAGTTGTTTGTGAAAACAAGATTAGCGCATCAGCTTATTAAGCCGTAAAAACAAAGTTACTGGACCTTTGAGTTGGGGTTGACTAATTTGTGATGACTTTGAAATGGATTTTAAGTGATTATATTGTGATTTACCTACCTATTAAGTTTGTACTTAATGCTCACGATGCGTCTTGGTCTGTATTTCTAGATAACTCTACATTCGTTATTGATTTCGAATTGATAAAAGAGGATAACATACATTTTTCATTACATCCTCGTCCTTATGGGACATTGGAGATTTGGAACTAATGTTTATGATTTTACAGGCAATCTTATTATTTGTTTCGGCGTGCGGTCGCCTCCTTGGTCGCGCGACACTGGCCACAAAGAAAACTTTTCTCGTTTTTTTTCCACGACCAATATCGTTATTTATTTGTTTTTTTCTTTCGCTCGACTGACTAGATTTTCCAATTTAATTGATACATGTATAATAATACATAATAACTAGGTATGTAACAGGTGCCTCATTCTAATACGTATCTGTTAATTTATTTTTTATTTTATTAGTACTACAGTTGAAAATCGAGTTATACTTAGTAATTAAGAGTTGGGTTTACTTAATTTGACACTGTATTTAAATAAAAACTGTTGTTTGTTAACAGCCGAGAGCGGCTCAGAGGAGATGCCGACGGCTACAGCGTCTGACCCCAGCGCGGAGCAGAAGGACCGCCTCATCGCCGCCGTCAAGAAGGAGGTCAAGCAGTTGATGGAAGAGGTCAGTCAGTCTACACAGTCTTATTTTTGGGCAGAAATAAACCTCCCAGAGAAGGTTTATTTTGCCAATTTCGAGTGAACATTGATAAAGTTATACTAGAGCATTGGGTGTTTTAGTTTTATTGATTTTTATGATTGGAGACAAGTAAGTATTTCCGTAAGCCGGTTTCTTAAGGAATACGAAGTAAGTATTACAAGTTTCTAAAACACTAAAACTAGCTCGAATGTTCTTTTGTCTTGTGCAAGTTTTCACTAGCCGGCGTGTGGGACATGACTCAATCAAATTGAAAAGAAAAAAAAATCCTAATGATTTTGTTAAAAATCGTGAAGCTCTAAGTAGGTAAATAAACGAAAACTTTGCGTCTGGAGAAAAAAAAAACAACTATTTGCATTTTGTATTACCCAATCTACCGCGATTGCTATAAACTAGATTAGAAGTATTTGTTGTAACTCAAGACTCGACCGAAATATCCCGGCAAATTGAATTGGAGTCTGGAGAGTGGACAATACACCTGTCTGGAATTCCGGAACGAGCATTGGATGGAATACTAATTCGAATACCTTCGTTTCTTCCAGTCGGGCCGGAATGTTGGCGATCATTCTCGGATAAACAGAAATGTTAGCTAAAGATTGCTGAAAGTTATGCCGGTTACAGACCAAGAGAGAAACTAAATTAGTTTAGCTTAGCCACAGATTTCCAGTATACTTTGCAGTCTGCACACAACTATAGAAAACTTAGTCAGCTGTACGAGCTAAACTAAACTAACTTAGCTCTTGGTCTGCAACCTGCATAACGGTTAGGTACCGTTTTGAAAATACATATAAAATTATAGAAACGTACGAGTAAAGTCCTGGAATGAATGTGTTTACCCGACAAAGCAAAGCTCTTAAATTATGAAGAATGGAAATTTCGTCATAGCAATCATGTAGCATTGTTACTTTTATTCCTAACAAACGACCGTAAATTTGGTACATTATATGAAATATCTAAACGAAGGTAAACCGCCGGGGTATAATGTCGGATATTATAATACTTTTTCACAATATAAATGGGACTACCAGCTGCACCATTTATAAAACACGATATAATTTTCGTTCCAAATATTTCTGTTTGATATTAAAAAAGTTTGCGAGTCCCAAAGCTTGTATAAAGTTACTTAATGCAGCATTATTTCATTACAAAATACTTTGGGTGCTTTGTCATAGCAAATTGTTCAATGTAGAGCCAAAGTTGCAAATTAATGTTGATTGCAATCATGTTTGAACTTCGGCACTCGTGACTCCGCAACTTGCTGTGACTTCTTATTATACCTTCGAAGATAATTTTGCTTATGAGAACCCTTTATTTAGACCAGTATGGAGGAAATTAACATCAAATGAAGCGTAATGGCAAGAAATGTTAACATAGTGAAAGAAGATTAACTTGTAGTTAAGGCATTTATTGGTCTCTTACTAACCACTTTAATTGAATTTGTACATTACAAAATCAAATACATAATTATCGCAATTTTTGTATTTACATAATTTTGTATGGCGTGGAACGTGCCCAAAACCCCTAACGATCTCAAATTACAACTTTTTACTACTAATCTTACGAGATAAGTTAATCAACTGGTAAAGTTAGAAGCACTACGTACATACTTTACTGTTTTATAACTTTACAAAAGAACCCTAAAATGCTATGTTATACCATCGTAATGCGATTCATTACGTGGATCGTGATACGGATCGATGTAGACACGGTCCAGACTGGAGTAATCCAATTAGGGTTCACGCGAATAACACGTAAGTAACTAACACTGTTGCCAATTTCTTTAGAAACGTACTAATCCCTCTATGTACTTTTATATCTAAGTAAATGCATTTAAGTATTCTTCGTTCACTGAGAAAGACATTAATAACGATACTTCATTTAAACTAATCTTTTTTTTACTTTAGAATCTTTAACATTACTTTACTTTGCAGCCAAATAAAGGCTTTCTTAAATTACTAGATGTTATTAAGCTTTGTTTCTGCTGACGCAAGCAAATTTAAGATGCCACAGTGTTCACCTTGATGGGCTGTCGCCCGTACATTAAGGAAGCACTGCGGGGACAAAATACTCTCTCGTAAAAGGCACTACCTACAGGAAAATTAAAACAGGCTTGATTAAAAAGTAAACTTCTTAATGGAAATGTAAGAGGTGCTTTTATATTAAATGTTCAAGGTGCTGCTGAGGAGTTTGAACAAACTTAATTTAGCCACTCCGTAGTATCCTCAAGTTAACTGAATAAAACTGAGAAGTGTTCTAAGAACCAGGAAAAATGTTGAAGTTTAAACTCAGCAAGTTACATTTCTGAGAAAACTTCAGGAAATGGAGCTGTAAGTATGTTTTATTTTAATGAATAGTCCAACAACAAACAAGGTGCTGCAATATAGCACTAGAGATGAAAAACTTTACACTTTTAACTTTTACGTTATGTCGTGCCTGAGAATCGAATATTTGAAATAACAACTTGATCCATACTTATTTTTTTATTTAAGGCATAGCTACAAAGAGAATAATAGAGAGTAAGAGAGATAAACTTTCGAAGGGTTCACTAATATGTGTCCATGATTGGTCAAAGTAAAAGCTCGTATCTTAAATAAGGCAGTGACTTTTTTTAATTCAAGTGAAGATGACGCTAGTAATGTTTTTTTCAGTATCTATTCCCGAAGAGGTAATAAAAAGAAACTAAAATTTTCCATATACTTACTTACCTAAATTGGAATCGATGTCTCAGCCACTTCCCTTCTAACCTTCAAAGAATCTGAAAGCGAATTCCGGCGCGACGGATTCGGAATGTGCCCGTTGGGTTTTATAAATCAACCTTTATAAGAGCCTAAGCACACGATGCGTTGCGACGCCGCACCGCAAAGATTTCGCCGTATACGGTAATGCGCTATAGCGCTGCGCCGCACCGCTCGTGTGCCCGCCACAGATATTTCTATGTAAGACGTCGCAGCGACACTGCTCCGGGCCGCAACGCGTCGTGTGGTTTGGTCCTAAGGAGTAACTGGCACGGAAAGTATTCATGTAGTTTATCCTGTTTTCTTTTGATGTTTCCTTACATTGGCTTTGAATAGTGGTGAATAGGCGGGGTAGTTTGTTACCGTTACAACCTTATATCTTTTGATGGAGCTTTTGTATACTTTTATAGATCATAACATGGTTTAAGAGGTAAACTTTCCGACTGTTCTCTTTTCAAGCCAACTTCCCGATTGAGTCATATCAGACGCCTATAATATCAGAACATTCAGTTTGTCATCAGACCATAAGTCAACGTAACTCTCGGTCGGTATTGCAGAGATGCTAATCTCAACCTGTGGCCTAAGGTTGAATTGGCCTAATGACATAGTGGTTTGGACCTTAGACATAGTAGTCATAGTTATACATTTGATAGCGTGATCTTCGTACATCGCAAAGATACCAAACGACGTGACGTGAAAAGGAAAACAATGTTGCATTGTCTACAGGCGCTTGATATTTTACTACGCTCATAAATATAATATTCCGCTAGGTATATTACTTTATGACTACGCTACCGTTTTTAATTGACTTAAAAAGGAGGCATTTAGTTTGACTTGTACCTATATGTTAGAATGTCCGCGATTGTCTTGCGGCTAACCAACCGGTTTTCAGAAAAGTATTTGTTACATTCTGGAAAAGGTTTTGGTATACTTACTTTGTAATATCAGAATATCCAAGTGATTCCAAGACCTTGTTGCAGGCGGTGACACGCAAGTTCGTGCATGAGGATAGCGGCGGAGTGACGGCGCTCTGCGGAGCTGTGGAGGCTTGCCTTGGGCAGGGGCTGCGGCGCCGGGCCCTCGGGCTCTTCAAGACCAGCTCTACCACTGCCCTGCTCCATAAGATTGCTAAGGTAAGTGATGGCAGAAATATTGTAAAGTTAGGAAGAAAAGGCGAACTGTCTTTTCTCATCACGAGGACAGCTGCTTAGTGTGAGTGACAGCCTTCTATGAAGGAAGGGCTCTTGGGCTCTTAAGACCAGTTTCACCACTGTGTTTCATAAGATTGCCAAGAAACCCTAGTAGCAGGAATATTGTAGTAGAAAGATAGGGTATGAGGTAGGTAGTTCATCATGAAGGAAGCTATGGTTTGATTGCAGTCTATAATCGCCGTGAGAATACCCTCATAAAGCTCTTCAAAAGTGTATAAATTAGTTGGTCCCTAGAGTCGCTATTGGACATACATTTTGAGAAGAATATCTGCATAGTTGTGACACTATTAAATAAGTAATAACCTACTTGTATAGCGTGAAATATGCGGGCAATATAATAATAAATCTCCAATCAAAATACGAAAATACAAACAATATTGTTCAAGGCACCCCCGAAGGTGTACCAAATTACTTACCTACGTACAAAGTTGTAAATTATGACCGTATAATTTACATTCTGAAGTTGGTTGGCGAATATGTCAAACTGTATTTAGTTTATTCTCTTGAGGCAAAATTATTACTGACTTAGGTATAAAGCTTCGTTTCAGAATTTGTAGAAGTTCGAACGTAAGCAGGCAATCATTTTACTTGGTAGACATTTAGGTAACCACACACTCTTCAAGATAACAGTCGTAAGCACTTATATAGCAGGTATGTTTAATTGTGGACTGCATCTCACATAACTGGTGTAATTGCGGTCCAAATAGCTGCCTTGTTCTGCTTTAAAAAGCACACTCCCCTGGAGCAGTAATGTGAAATTAAAAATATTCATTGTAAATCAAATCCAGTGTAATAAAGCGCGACAGTTTATTAACGTTCAAAACTAGGTTTAAACTTCAAATTCAAGCATAGATTGATTTTTAAAGAAAATTTAATCATCATCATCATCATTTTAGCCACAGGACTGCTGAACATAGGTTTCCCCCAATGACTTCCACATCGCACGGTTGGTAGCGGCCTGCATCCAGCGCCTTCCCGCTACCTTAATTTTAATATGTATATCTATTATATTTTTATAACTATTAGTAGTTAACGTTATATCGTTAAGTTTATTAATTGTGCGAAGAGTTAATTTATTTTCATCCTTATGTATCACACTGGGTGGAGATAGAAATTAATTTGCGCCTGTAAATTGCGCCTTTGATGTCGCTGTGCGATGTTGGCAGCCATTGTTGTGGCGGTTACTCTTTATGTAGCGTTTACACGTTTTGGGTCTTTGTGCTTAGCAACAGTTTTGTGCTAACTTTTTGCAGCCAAATCACGTTTATTATAACAAAAAACTATTATTACTATAGTTTGTATTACTTTGTCTACGTGTGAAACTATGTAGTTTGAATAAATTTTGCCGATTTTGCAACGTTTTTCATAGCTGCTCAGCTCCTATTGGTTGAAACGTGATGATACAAGCCGAAAGCCTTCCTTGTTAAATGAACTATCAAACACAAAATCAATTTTTCAATTTGAACCTTCAGCTCCTGAGATTAGCACGGTCAAACAAACAATAAAACAAACTTTAGGGTTATAATACAATAGAAATAGTTGTACCTTGAACATGTCTGTCTCAAATTCACATATCTGCATTAGTGGCAAAACTAAGTTTATTTTGGATTCAGCAACCACTAACAGTAACAGTTCGGTAAATGTATCTCGGTTGAAACGGGGAGCGATCCAGTTGTATTCAATTAGCAAACTTTGGGGCCATTTCCCCGCCACATACCGTATTAATGTAAAATCTAATTAAGTTGTCAGAACTAACACAACATTAGCACGCACACATGGAAATTTACATTTTGCTTAATATCATGACACGTGATCCTAAAGATTTTCGGAGGACTCGTATGTAGAGCAAATAATGTAGTTTCATTCGGAATTAGGCAGTGAGTACTTTATATAAAACAAATAAATACTTACACTCTTCAAGAAGTCAACAAAAACGATTTTTGTGATACATCGTATAATGTGGATATCTACTTATTTACTTTATGGCTACTTAATAGAAATGTGAAATCATGTCGTCTATACAATATGATGTCGTAGATTGATTTTTACTGAAAAAGTACGAGTAAACCGGGTTTGATAACGGATGGGATGACGAAAACTTTAGTTTTTATCATAACAACGGAAAAGAGTCGAATGTTGTTTTCTGTTAGGCTGCGTCTATACAGTTACAGTCAGCACTGATATATATCTAGCACATAAATTTAGTTGAAACTAAGTGATACTAGTACAAGTTGTTGTAGGTAAATAATGATGTAATAACGTATCGTACGAAACAGAGCTAAAAATTCAATTCAGTTACAACCTTGGACTGATATTACCAATCCTCGTTTCATGGTTTTGTAATATGAACCTACTTTGAAAACGGTAAACAAGTAGGTTACAATCTACACCGTAAAATGTTTAAAACTTTTTTTTCGCTTCACAGTTCTCTAGCAATTAAATGTTGAATTAATTTCAATTTGTTCTCAATATCTTCAGCACGTTACTTTATTTCACCATAATAAATGCTTATTTACAAACACTAGCTATTAAATTTCAGCCAGTGTGAGTACAGCCTTAATTACGCTATGCTTAACATTTTTGCTTGTGCTGCTCAGTTAGTTTGTAAACTGTGTGCAGTACTAGTCCGATGTAGGTTTTTTGAAATATTTATTTTCAATCGTCGCTGTAAAATATGTGACTGGTGAAATTTTAAGGCATTTTAAACATTAACCTAGTATGTCAATGTGTTAAAAATCAGTACAGTTAAAAGAAAATGTGTTACGCTTTCTTTCGGAGATTTTGTAAACTTATGCTCAAACTATTCACCGTTATTTTCATCGTATGGATATTTTTTGACTATCGTCAAGTACTGCCTCCATTCTTCTTTTTATCAAAGATACTGTTGGAAAATTATAACACCAGTGCTGGTTTCTATAAACACCTACCAGCTAAATATCTACTGCTTTGGTCAAAGTGCGACTATCGTCCATTTAAATTGCTTCGCGAAAAGGGTATTTTTACAAAATACAACTGTTCATTCCAGAACTGCATTGTGACTTCCAATAGGAATTATTTCAGAGATCTTTCCTGGTTCGATGCGATTGCTTTACACGGAGCAAAGGTAACTAAATATAGAAGTGCTTCTGATAACCGCCCTCGAGCCACCCATATGTCATTGCACCAAAAATATGTCTACATTAATCTGGAGTCAGCGCACATTACTCCAGTTTGTAGTTTCAAATTCGACTACCTTTTTAACTGGACAATGACATATAAGTTGAATTCTGATGTACCATTGCCGTACATACAAATACGAGACAAGTCAGGAAATGTAGTGGGTCCGAAGATAAATATGCATTGGAAAGAAAATACGGATGACTTTGATAATGAAGTTCTTCGACTTCTTAAAAATAAGACCAAAGCTGTAGCGTGGTTCCCTTCTAAATGCGATTCAGTAAGTCTAAGGGAGATACTGGCGAATGCATTGCACCAACAACTTCAGAGCTATGGGTATAGTGTAGACGTCTATGGAAAGTGTGGACGTTTGAAATGTGGATCAGACGACGATTGTAATAGTTTATTGAAGAATAATTATTACTTCTATCTGGCTTATGAGGAGTCTATCGCTGAAGATTACGTCACTGATGAGATTTTGAGACCACTGCAGCACTATGCGGTTCCAATAGTTTTTGGCGGTGCTAATTATTCCAGGTAATTAATGATCTAAATAAGTACTTTTATTTGATCATAGACTTCTGTGCAAATGTTTTAATTTTACTACCCAGGCCTATAATCAGTGGCTTGTTTTTCAGTTGGTATTCTCACTTCACTTCTCTTTAGTACTTAATAGGTACAAAAAAGTCTAAATTATCTAGTTTTATTTCAGATTCCTACCGCCACGTTCCTATTTGAACGCTCGCGACTCAGTGCCTTCTCGTTTGGCAAGTACTATGGTCAAGCTAATGAAAAATATCAACCTGTACTATCGATATTTTACATGGAGGCAGCATTATACATACCACAATCCAATAACAGACAACGTTTGCGCGGTGTGTGCGGCTCTAAACGATCCAAAGCTGGCTCAGCGGACTGAATACCCTGACTTGAGATGGTGGTGGAACACTCCTCCTCCTACTAGATGCCCGAATAAAAAAAAAGTAAAAGAAGAAGAAGAAAAAGAAGAAGGCAGAAAATCAATCGAGATCGAGTTAACGTAATTTAGACTGCACCATAAAGTATTTTACTGTTATATTTCGTTTTAAATTAAGGTCTGAATTCCCACTTGTAAGTAGTAAAATTAAAACATTGAATAAAAGAGTTTTTTTAAGAAACTATCAGTTGGTCAACTCTAGCTTATTCAAGAGGACTAAGGTATTTTTAGCTTGTAACTCTTTCGTAGGTTGCCCTATAACAAAACTCAATTGAGGGCTAAGTTTCTTGTAAAGAAAAATAAAAAAGATGAGTGTTACTTACCAGCCAATCACATTCGTTACATACAAAGTAAAATAACGCAAGAAACAAAGAAATCATAAACAACACTTGTTTTCTCTTAAAAAGTCGGTAAGTACTTACGTTTTTCCACGAAGGTGTATGTCAACTCGTAGCGAGAAAATGGAAACGCAAATGTCTCGAAGGCCTAAAAAAACGCCCTATTTCTTGGCTCATTAAATTAAAAAAACGTTCCGGTCCCTTAACGTCCATCTTGGGAGTTTTCTAATTTAAATTACGCATAATTACCGCTCTCATAGGCGAAATGTCAGTAGGCCTTACTGTTAAACAGAAGTACTTAGCTTTAGAAACAGGAATTTTAGCAGGAAAGAAGTAATTCGTTTTCAAAATTGAAAATGAAGAGAATATCTCAAGAACATTTTAAAACTTTCGAGTGATTGTGACTCTACGAGAACAGTCAAACGGAATTCTGTGTTTTGCTATAGGTACCT